ATTACGGTTTTCTCTCCGGGCATCGCATTCGGCGATGCTGGAGAGGCAAAGTAAGTGTCTTCCAGGAAAAAAAAAAAACAAAAAAACATGAAATGACCGACGGTCTAGATTTCCTAGTGAGAACATAGTAGGAGAATCCCCTGCATCGGTGATTCCGTAGGAGTCGGTGATAATAACTGACCATGTTGACAAATATTTGAGGACCTTGATGGTAGGAAAACCCGAGAGCGCATATCGTGACCAAGGAATTTCACATTGGAGGCACCAAACAGGTATTTATTATAATATACAGACGCAGCACACTCCGGGTGTGGTCAAAGTGTTGACCATCGTTTTTAGAAGTCTGGATATCCCCTTCTGTTCAATTTCCAAGGCGTGAGAGCCGTGCTGAAATGATGAAAGGCTGCGTCAGCGAGAGTTTCTTGAGCACCGCTTTCCACCAGATATCAGCGAGAGAAAGTGGCCTTAGTGCAGGTGAATGAAAGGGGTCTTAACTTGTAGGTTTATTATTGAAGGTAGATATGAGACCCCCAACAGACCCCCGTGCCCCCGGGGTCGAGGACGAGTTGGTGGAACTGAACGCCGTGTGGCTTGGTCTGTGTGCCGTGTCTTTCCCTCTCCGTGTGGCGAAACGTGTCCTTTTATGCAAACGTTCCCTTCGAGAGTGGATCCTTACTTCCATCGTAGAAGTAGAGCAGGCAGCTGCTGGGGACAGGTGTGAAACGTACCATCCGGTCTTACTTTGCATGTCCTGAACGGCCTCCGAGAGCCATGGACACGGTATTCCCTTGATTAATTGGCCTTTATTAAGGGCATTAAGGCTCACCCCTTCAGCAACTATCCTATCTAATTTTTTTCTGATTCTCCTGCCTCTCCTTTGACTAGGGCTCCGACCGCTGATACGAATACCCCCCCTCCTCGATGTTTACTGTTAACTCTGTCCATTCCGAATCATCCACCCGGTTAACAGCCCTTCTATACCCCGGCTAGAATATACCCAGTTATTTTAGGTTAAGCTGCTTTACACACCGAAGTATAAGTTAGGCCAATTTATATCCCCAGGTGTAAAATGGACTGGGCTAGAATATACCCCTTCCCAATTGCATGTAATAAGTATATTAATATATTGTAGGAAAATAATAGCTGGTGTTAATGCGGATCATGCAGTGATTTCATAATTACAAGCATTCCTTGTGCATTGAGAATTGAATTATAATTATAATGGTGGTCAAAGTAGAAACTGACCGTTTGCGTTTATACTAATACACACACACACACACACGCACACGCACACGCACACGCACACGCACACACACACATACACACACACACACACACACACACACACACACACACACACACACATACATACACACACATATATATATATATATATATATGCATACACACACACACACACACACACACACACACACACACACACACACACACACACAGATATATATAATATATATATATATGTATATATATATATATATCAATCATAGGCTTTGGAGCCGGGGGGGGCCCAGGGGGTCCAAGTGCAGTTAGCTAGTTACTACACACAGGTTCATCCACTAGCACGTCACTACAGCAGCAACAGGATTCAGTCCCAGACCTTTTGATCCCTTGTACATGCTATACCGGGTATTGAGATGGTCTTATGACATATTTTGATAAGATACACCAGCCGAGACACTTAGCCAGTACTATGGCTTGGAACCAAGCACCCATATACACATGCATGGCATTTGTTGTATGCTGTACCACCATGAGAGGACAAGGAGGGTTAAGTACCATAGCTCAGTGCCGATTTGTTACACTGTCATTTAGAGACTAGCATCACCGACTTTAATAAAAGAATGCCTTGGGGTTGACAATGAAACTGTATTGTGTCAATCCAATTAAATTATTAAATTAAATTTTCCATACACCCACCCCCTCTCGGGCGCTTACGCGCCCTCGAATTGAATTCACTCGCAGAAGTGCGCCCCCCACTTTCAAAATCGCTCCAAAACCTATGTATATATATATGTGTGTGTGTGTGTGTGTGTGTGTGTGTGTGTGTGTGTGTGTGTGTGTGTGTGTGTGTACTTTCATAGATACACACACACACACACACACACATATATATATATATATATATATATATACACATATACACATATACATATATACATATATACATATGTACATATATATATATATATATATATATATATATATGTGTGTGTGTGTGTGTGTGTGTGTGTGTGTGTGTGTGTGTGTGAACAATACGTAGCAAGACCGGATAGCAGATTCACACCTCGGTCCAAGCAAATGCCTTTCTCCTTGCGCAGGATGCAGGTGCTTCCTTCCTTTCTCTTTTCACACAGGAATAAACATCCGCCCTCCAAGGAAACCACCGCATAAAAGGGCACGTGCCTACGACGACGGGAGACAGAAGGAGACACGGCAGACAGGCCAAGCGACACAGGGTCCAGCTCCACCACCTCGTCCTCCACCACCCGGGGACACGGGGGTCTCTTGGGGGTCTCATATCTATCTTCAGAGATAAACCAGCAAGTTAAGACCCCTTTCATTGACCGCCCCAAGACCATGTGTTAAGTGCTTGCATGCCTTCTCACTTACAGCTGCCACCGCTGGCTAGCCTGGTGCGAAAATGGAGCAGCTATGCACTCCCCTGCCAGCTCATAGCCTCTCCATCATCAAGACTTCTGCAGTGCCTCCTCATGGCCACCCATGGAAACTAGGCACCTTGCGGTCCTAGGCTGAACTGTGGAGGCTCTTGGAGCAGGAGGAGGCCCTAAAGGTACGGAGTCATGGCCCACCGGCGTGTGGACACGTCCTGACTTCGTACTAACTCCTGCCCCCGTACCCCCTGGGGTTAATGGGCGGCTGTGGGGAGACAGGCCTTGCCAGTCTGCCCCCCGAGAGAACCATATTGGCACCAAAGCATTTAGTCGGTGATGCTGGGGGGAGGGTTTAAGTCACTCTCACCCAGCAAGTAAGGCGGGCTGTGGGTTCCTCTGGGTTGGCGACCGGGTAGGGGGCGGGGCTTACCCGTCACCCCATCAGGGTACCGGCGGCCGCCAGCCTGGCATGAAGCTTGTGGGGGAAAGCCCCCGGGAGCCCTGCAGGCGGATAATGGGACCTGCATCCAGCCAACCTTGTCTATTTGGGGCGGCGTCGGTAGGGGTAGCAGAGGTGGCACCCACCCGGAGTGACTGCCCGAGGTTAGACCTCAGGTGGGCTGTCCGGGTGGGGGCGTGGAACGTCCGTTCCTTGCGACAGGACGATCGGTTACCACTACTGTCGAGGGAATTGAAGCAGCTGAGACTTGAGGTGGCTGCTCTCATATTACAGGCACTGAAAGTGCTGTAAAGTGTGGTGGGGGCCTGTCGAGCTTCTTCCCTGTTAGCTCAGGGGTGAGGCAAGGCTGTGTTCTTGCACCAACACTTTTCAACACTTGCATGGATTGGATACTGGGTAGAGCTACTATCCAAAGTCACTGTGGAGCAACTCTGGCAATATCAAGGTTACTGACCTTGACTTTGCTGATGATGTTGCCATTCTATCTGTATCTCTAGAAACCCTAGTGGCGGCTCTTGATGCATTTAGCAATGAAGCGAAGCCCCTGGGGCTAGAGGTCTCCTGGACCAAGACCAAGATCCAGGATTTTTGAAGCCTACTAGGAGACCCTGTGCAGTCGGTACATGCTTGCGGCGAAAACATCGAAGTTACCAAGAGTTTTATATACCTCGGTAGTGCAGTTCACGACTCTGGGCTGTCAGACCAGGAAGTCAGTAGACGGATTGGCCTGGCAGCAGGGGTCATGAAATCTCTCGACAAGAGCATTTGGAGATGCCGGTACCTTTGCAGAAGGACCAAGTTACGCGTTTTCAAGGCCCTGATACTGCCAGTTTTACTATATGGTAGTGAAACCTGGACGCTATCTTGTGCCTTGGAATCTCATCTTGATTCCTTTTGTAACAGATCCTTGCGCCGGATCATGGGGTACAGTTGGCGGGACCATGTGTCCAACGAACGGTTGCACCGTGAGACCAGCACAGGACCTGTTACTTGCACAATCCGTGATCGCCAACTCAGGCTATAAGGCCACTTGGCTCGGCTCCCGCAGGATGACCCTGCCCACCAGGTTGTCTCTGTCCGAGGCCTGTGGGACGACCGTCGTGGCTTGGGCAGATCGATCAAACCTGTCGTGAGGAACTAGAGATGGGCCGGGCCCCTGCCTGGCGGCTTGTCATGAGAGACCCTCGTAGGTGGAACCGAAGGGTGGATGCGGCTATATTCCCCTGCCGGCGTTAGCTCCAAATGATTGATTGATTGATTCTAAGAATCCACAAACCACAAAATCCCTCATCCGGGGATTCGCCACCAAGCATCACCCTATCGCTGTATTTTGAATTCCCACAAATGACCTTAGACGTTGTCGCGGCAGAAAATTTTCAATCTCTCTCTCTCTCTCTCTCTCTCTCTCTCTCTCTCTCTCTCTCTCTCTCTCTCTCTCTCTCTCTCTCTCTCTCTCTCTCTCCCCCCCCCCTCCCCCCCTCTCTCTCTGTTTGTTTGTCTGTCTTTGTCCGCCTCTCTCTCTCTCTCTCTCTCTCTCTCTCTCTCTCTCTCTCTCTCTCTCTCTCTCTCTCTCTCTCTCTCTCTCTCTCTCTCTCTCTCTATGTTTATCTGTCTGTTTGCCTCTGTCCTCTCTCTCTTACTCTTCTCTTATGCTGTCCCTGTCTCTCTGTCTCTCTCCCTGCTTTCTTAATATCTTTTTCTCCCTTGAAATTTCCAGTATGTCTGCCTTACTGATATCACTGTTGAAATTTTCAGTGTTTTATTTTTAAAGATAAAATGTGGAGCACATTATTTATTTTATGGTAGATTTTCCCCCATTACCATTTTCCTTTATACGCCCTGATGTTATAACAATGATCCCTATTGTTATTGTCAACACGAAATGACGTCATCTCCGGACACGAAAGATGGCCAACAGGCAAACTGTCAATCCTCTGCTGTTTTCAGCAAATAGCAGCACTGCCTTTGATAATTTTCCAACTCCGGCAGTACTTATTCCACCTTCCCAAAGTGAGACGCACAACGCCTCAAACGGTAAAATCATCCTCTGATTACGCTACGTCCTGATAAAGCTGAGCATATTGATAACGTCATTGTTGCTGCTCATATTTTTCCCGCACAGCAGACTTCCATTATTACCTATTAGTAAGACAGATATTTGTTCTCAAATGTACACTAATCCTGGCTGTACAAATTACTTGCCTTGTTTCAGAGATTCTAGAGCTCGTTAATATTTTTTTAAAAGATATATAAAAAATATTTAGTGCAAATAGCTTTACATTTTGAAGTGGTATAGGGATATCATGTGAGTAGGAGAGCAAACTTCTATTTGCAAGGAAATCAAAGGGTTTTAGGGTAAATTTGGAGATGATGCCAAACACCAATAACTCTCAGGGAAATAGTAGGTTAAAGCAAATGATTGAAGTAAAACTTAAAGTAGTCTAGATATTGCAATGTACATTTATAGTAATTAGAGGGTGGTATAGCTCAGTGGTAGAGTGCTAGCTTTGCAATCACAAGGTCCTGGGTTTGTGCCTGGCTGCTGCCTCTCTCAGTCAACTCAGCTGTGAATGAGTACTGATATACTGATGTCATCATGTTGGGGTCAAAGTCAGGGTGGAAAGGAACTGGCCATCCTACTGCATCATCCCACTGCTTAGTAAGCATGTTTCTCTGCAAACATGTCCTCTATGTTCACATGGACATGGACCAACTTTGAACTTTGATTTATAGTAATTAGGGGACTATGCTCCCTAAGCCAACTTTCAGGGGGGCTGCTATCCCCTTACCCCCACCTTGTATACAATATAGTCTACTCCTTTGTTCTGGCAGGATAGATCCAGGGATGGCAGTTATCT